CCTTTTTAGGACTCTGCCCTCCAGCAGTGCCCACTACATTTGTCTCTTGTCCCCCTTCCACGGGTTCATCGTCACTCTGGTGTCTCTGCTGACATAGTGGCTGACTGTGGCCTCCAAGTCTAGCCCCTCACTTCAGGGGCAAGCCGCAGTCCTGCCATACTACAAAACAGTGGTGGCTAAACATTGTGTAAGGAGAGACCCAGGCCTGCCAATTGCTCTGGGTCTCAACTCAGGGATCCTTTGGCAGCAGCCTTGTCCTGCCCTCCTGTACTCCCCTCCACAGCCTTTTGTTCCCTGGGCCACATCCCTGGTGACCCTAGCACTCTCCTGGCCCTAGTGGCAAGGCTAGCAGCCTGGCAGGTCTCAAGCAGGAGCCTCCCTGGTCTCAAGCAGGAGCCTCCTTCGCTATTCCCCCTGAGCCAGTCCAGTACTGCTCTAGCAAAGATGCCTCTCTTGGAACTGATCCTGCATCTTTCCTGGTCAGAGCCTAACTGACTCTTTCTGCTGGGCAGCTCCCTATATACAGGGCTGTCCTAGCAAGCTACACCCTGATTGGTTCTTTAAAAGTTTCCCCCTGATTGGCCAGAGCTCTGCACAGGCTCCCTCCAGCCTTCATTAACCCTTTCCAGCCACTGTGGGGCAGTCACTCCACCACACATTCCAGTACTAAAAATCTACAGTTGGCAAATATGTCTATCATAAAGAAATGATATATTGCACTGTAAGTATGAGCTTGTGTTAAAAGCATTATAAAATTGACCATGCCTAGCTAGCAATTGTGTCTTTTGCGCTATTATGTAAGAACATGAAAACTGCCTTACTCAGTCAGCCCAAAGGTCCATCTAGCTGAGTATCCTGTCTTCTGACAGTGGCCAATGCCAGGCATTCCAAAGAGAATCAACAGAACAAATAATCATCGAGTGACCTATTCCCTGTTGCTCATTCCCAGCTTCTGGCAAAAAGAAACTCTGCTTATTAAAAATAATGCATAAAAACAACTAGTTGATGACACCAGTAGTCTTACAAAGCAGTAGCATTGTTGCAGATTTTGTGTAAGACTTAAAATTGAGATTCTGACCCACTTGTGATCAGTACAGATCCTATGGCAATTTACATGAGTAGATTTCTTTGTTAACTAAAGTGTCCTGAACAAATTCCACCTCAGGAAATTACATTCCACATACTTACATTTCCTTGCAGTTTCAGTTAAGATACAGTAGGCTTTCATTTCTTCCTTAAATTGTTTTTTAATTTTGGCCATGCTGTGCTGTTTTACCACAAAGGGGCCTATGTTTGATCAAGTGATGTCAGATATATCAAAGGGTATGTCTACACTACAGAGTTTTGTCGGAAAAATGGCCGTTTTTCCAACAAAACCTGAGTTACGTCCACATTGCAATCACATTCTTCTGAAAGTAAATCAAAAGAACAGAGGGTTTTTTTCTGGCGTTGGTAATCCTTTTTCTACAAGGAAAAAGGCATGTGTGGTTGGGGAAGAGGGAGTTCTTTCAAAAGAAGAGGAAAGAGGAAAAAGCACAGGTGCCCTAGTGGCCACTCTGTCCATAGTAATCAAGCTTAAATGCGAGATAGAAACCATTCAGTGTGGATACTATCTTTCGAAAAAACAGATCGCTTTTTCAATGCACTTTTATGTGTGGATGCTCTCTTTCGGAAGAAGTTTTTTTGGAATATCTCTTCTGAAAAAAAGTTCTTCAGAAAGAAGCTTGCAGTCTAGACATAGCCAAAATGTAAAATAAAAGATGCCATAGAAACATGAAATACTATTATACACTTATGATTGTATGTTTCCGTGAACTACTATGTAGTAGACTGACGGCTTACCTTTTCTAGACTGATGGTTTACTCCTTCTAATTGTTGATTGATTTACAGACAATGGCCACAATCCTGAAAACATTTATGTATGTACATAACTTTAGTTACATGAGTGCTCCCAAGTGAAGCACATGCATGCTTTGAAGGATCAGAGCCAATGCATGTAGGTTTGCCAGGTATCTGGTTTTGAACTGGACAGTCTGGTATTTGACCTTTCTGTCCAGGAAACAAATTGAGAAAATACTGGACATATAAATGTCCAGTATTTTCTAATTAAGTTTTATTATTATCATGCATATCAGTACGTAGTTGCGTACTGCATGAGTGTGTCTACCAGCTAAGCAGTATGCTGCTACTCAGTAGAGAGGAGGAGGGCGAGGATGGGGTGGGATAGAATCCCCGGGGCTGGATTCGGTTGTGTGCCCCGCTGGGACCATTGCACCCCTTTCCCAAAGCTCTCTCCATTGAGACAAGGCCTGTGGAATTACTGGGGGACCTGGTGTGGGACAGCAGCAGAGGTTTGGCTCTCTTGCACTCATCATGGAGGTGGGAAGTGGAATGACTCAGCCTCAATTACCAGCCTACTCTCCTCCGTCTGCTCCATTCAACTCGCATTGCTTGTGGGGAGCGAGTGGACTGCAGCAGGGCATGTGAGATCTGGGAGGATTTTTGGGTGAAGGAGGCAGTTGTGAGCTGGGGCATCAGATTGGTGTGCAAGGGTTTGGGTTGTGACCTAAGGCAGGAGAGGGTTGTGACCTAGGGCAGCGGATTGGAGTGCAGGGTCTGGGAGGGGGTATGGGTTTAGGAGGGTACAGAGGATTTGAATTATGTGAGGTAAGGGGGAAGGAATGGGAGAGCAGAGGGCCGGGGGGGGGGGGAAGGGGGGCTGAAATGCCAGAGGCAGGCTCTGGCTGGAAGACTTACCAGTGACACTCCAGCCTAGCATGTTTCTCAGGCAGGAGCTTGCCCCGCCCCCGCAAAAGGGCTTGAGGGGAGGGACGGAGTGGTGCTTTGTGTGTTGCCTGTTCTTGAAACAGGCAGTTCCCATTGTCCAGAAACCGGCCAAGGGGATTGTGCAGGGAGTGGGAGCAGCTAGGAAGCACCACTGCCCCCCTCTCCCGTGCTCAGTTTGTGAAACACCAACAGCCAGTTTTCTGAGCAGCGTGCAAGGGTAGGGCAAGCAGGAGAGTCTGCCTGAAGCTCTCTGCTCTGTCCCCAGGATGCAGCCCGCAAAATGTATTTTGCCCAGGCCTGACTTAAGTGCTGTCCACACTGTGCTATGTTAGTGAGAGATGCTGTCCCACTGACATAGTTTCTGTCTGTTGTAGAGGTGGAGTATTTATGCTGACAGGAGAGCACTCTCCCTTGGCATACCATATTTTCACTGGCTATGATGCAGTGATGCTATATCAGTGCAGGGCATGGAATGACCGCCCTGACCCATCCTGTAGACAGGACGGCTCTGCTTGAGATGGGCCAAGAATATGAGGTAAAGAGACCTTGGCTGCCTCACCTCTCCCCTCCCCACTTTAAATACTGAGTTTATCTTGGTCAGAAGTGATAATCAAATATGCTTCTACAGATACAGATGAAGACTGAACAGTCCTGGCTCATGGGGCCCAGGACAGCTGTGGTTCTGCACTTTAAATGTAATAAGAGCCGGCTGGGCTCTTACTACATGTAAAGTGCAGAGCCACAGTTGGAGCAACCCCCTTATTGACTAATAGAGTAGTCAATGGAAATTCCATTGACTACTTCATTAGTTAATTAACTGATACTTATCATTCCTAGTGTGTCACAAGGGGGCGTACGGGATTTTGCTGTGTATGTCACAATCTGGGGGGATGAGGGAAGATTTTGCTTGTGTCATAATCGGGGAGGAAGGGGGAGCGCAGAGGATTTTGCTGTGTATGTCACAATCTGGGAGGGGGAGGGAGGATTTTGCTATGTGTGTCACAATCAGGGAGGGGGCAGTGGTTTTTGCTGTGTGTGTCACAATTTGTGGGGATGTGGGAGGATTTTTGTGTGTGTTGTGCAGGGAATTGCTGATTTTCAAAATCCCTGGGAATGGGGGAAGTCGCTGCTGCCAGTGTTGCAGTTTGTGGGGATGGAGGAGAATTTTGTGGTGTGTGTCATGGTCTGGGGATGGGGGTGTGTGGCTCTATGGGGATGAAGAGGATTTTGCTCTGTGTGGGGAAGGGGAGGGGAGTCAATGAGGCTGAGGAGTGGGGGGGAAGGGGAGGATCTTGCTGTGTTGTGTGTGTGTGTCACTCTCAAAAAGGGGAGTCGTTTGTCCTAGGAGAGCGCAGTTCCCTGTGCCCGGCTTCCCTTCTCAGGGGGAGGGGGATGGGGTGC